GACAACACCTTGGGAGTTACTCCGGTCCGGGCTGCTGGAGCTCCAGACCCATGCAAGTGAGCCGTGAATGCCGCACTGAATGCTACGGTCCTACGTACAAGCTATAATGTCAGGGCGCACGTGATCACGCTTGGCACACATCTTCTCTCGCCGTGTCTGACATTTGGACACTACAAGCGTTTACGGATGTTCATTAGATGATTTGAACACAACCAATGGACAAGTTCATTGCGACTAGCTTCGATTTTGGCGCTGGCATGTGCAGAGCCGCAGTCTGACGCACTGGGTGGAGCTGTACCCACAGTGGAACGAACCAGGGCGGCTCTGATGCTCAGACTGACGCTCACACCCGCCATGCAGGCCCACGTACCTACGTATGGTACCACGTACCACCAGGTGCCTGCTTATGGCGTAACATCATACGACCGTCGTGCGCGACGATTCGGCCGACCGGCTGGGATGCAGGCCATGGGACTATCCCGCCGCGTCGCACGTGCGACGCGACGCGAATGTATGTGCATGTTCCCATACTCTGGTTACAGCTGCCGGCGCTGCAGATAATGGGCATTCGTCAGTTCCGAGGACTGATATCGCCAAGACTGCAGGCAGGCAGAATCACAACCGAAGTTCACGGACGCGCAGCGTTAGTTGCAGGGACTTCATTTACAGTCCACCAATCTTCACGTCAGTTTGTTTGCCGATTTTGAGCGCGGACGCTAGATGTCAGCGCACCGCCGCCGGCAAAACTCACGAAAAGGGATATTCCCATGCATTTATAAGTCGGAAAGTCATGGGTTCCCATCGAAGCGAACCTATGTCTGTACGATTGTCACCATTTGCTAATTGTTTAACACCATGGCCGTAGTGATAACAATCGCGTCTGTAGTCACCTCGCTCGTCTCACACCACGAATGACATCTCGCTGGCGTAACAGATATGATAGGTCATATATGATCATGTTTGATATCACTGTTTGGCAGATAATTCTGAGTAATTTTCGTAACGTCCGTCCGTCCGTTATTAATCCACAAACACAGTGACGTGCCAGCAGGCCCCGTGAAGCTCAGCTTACTGCTAGGCCAAAAGGATCGCGTCACCGCATTCAAGTCATGACCCGATCAGGTTGCGTGCACGACGACGCGTGCAAACGTGCCCCACCTGGTTTAACATGAGAAACACAACAAACGGAAAATAGAAAAACCTGCCGACTCACATATCGAAACCCAGCTCGTAACTACGCAACGAGGAGGCGGGTCGACATGATTAACTCTTTTTGACTCGGAGAGAAACGAGAAGTGGTGTAGATAAAGCGCAACTTAATGCGAACGACCGTGTGCGTGCGCTCGCGCGGTGGTGCAGCCAGGACTTCGCCCAGGAGGGAGCCAAATCGGAGCATGGAGACCGTGTAATCAAAACGGCCCCACTTCGTTGCGAAAGAGGCCCTGTTTTGAGAGATTGGGACTGTTACAGAATTGATGTCCCATTTTGATGCCGCGAGGGCCCAGTTTTACGCTGTAGTCTTAAATCGGGAAAAAGTTCTGAGTGATCAGGCCCCCAAACCCTAGAGGGAAGGGATATGGCCCAATAGTAGCACTGCCCTCTGACTACGCCCCTGTGCTCGTGAGCGAGCCATAAATTCGACAGGGTTGCGAGCGTGTTTCAGGACTGATGTCAAATCTCCGCGGCTCGCACAACTAAGCTGCACTGTGTAAGCGCATGAGGGTGTACAATAATTATACATTTTCGACCATAACATCCAGCTGGTGGACCTTTTGAGGGGGGGGGGATAATAAGCCGGGGAGGGCAGCAATGCTTAAAAATGGAAGTATTTCAACCTGTGCCAAAATGGATATCAAATAAATCCTCGTGACGGAAGTAACCAGATGGCATTTACACACAACTGCAAAATGAGCTCATTTGCTCACCCCTTTAGCACCATCTCACATCACATCACTTCGTCCTTTCTGTCCTCCGCTCATCCTTGGCCTAGAGAACAGAAAATGTCAAGCCAGGTGTAATTTAATTGTATGTACAAAACAGACCCTCAAGTCACATCGTTTCTCCATAAAAAAATAGCTGTGAACATCCATTGTGCGTCACTACACATCATGGTGTGTCCGATGCATGCCCATCAAAAATACTGATCTTCTTCCGGTGGACTGACACTTATTGCCGAAGCCACTGCAACTGATCCTGGTGACCGGCTACAATCCGTGCAAAGACTTGAATCGCTGACACCTCTAGAGAGACGCCCACAGAGCTGGTAAATATTTTTCAATGCTTGCACCCCGTTTATATGCGTGATAAAACAGAAAACCGTTGATAGTAGGCACATTCAGTCGCAGCCTCGCTGTACCACCGACAAGTATCGACATGAATAAGGTAGAACACCAGTCAACAGAGCCCATCTACCAGATCCAACAATTCTCGTCCGAGCTGACGAATAGCACTCGCTGGCAAGAGCATTAACATCTTATTCGCCACCGGCACAGGCGACAGCGTCAAAGCCGCTGCTTTTTTTCATTAACGCTGACGTCATCCGAAAGCAGACAGTATACGACCGTGTCGAGCCTCAAATGGAGATGCATCGCAGTCAAGCTGTTCCGGCCGCCGTTTGGTTAACCGTCCGGTAGTGTAGCAGGTCCCCGTACGGCTTCAGACCATTCGTGGAGCCGTCTGTGGACACCAGTGCAGACAGCCAAGTGGGAACGCTGCCCGCTGACGCCCCTAGGAGAGACCCGAGGCTGTACCGGGACCTGTGCAACGCCAGTTAGCTGCGAACACGGTTACCAAGCCGTGGTCGCAGCTGCGTTGGCCGTCATGTGACGCCCACGTGACCTGTTTGAAACCTGAGACAGTCGTGGTCCACCTGATTTCGGGTGGTATCGGCGATAATGAGAAATCAGTCATGGCTTCAACGCTGTTGTCGATGCCAGAAAATCATTACTTTGAGGATGTTGTGCCGTTCGTCAACTGGGACACATGAGTGTGAGACCTGGTAGACGCAATCATTTAGGTGACATTTTAGCTTCTTGGGATCGATGCTTGTCGTTGGCCAACAAAAGGTTTGGCCGTTGGACAAACAACCCAGTCGCTCAATGGGAAGCCAACGACGGCTTTCCGTTTCAGTGACTTTGAGCGATGTACAATCGTTTTAAAAAAATACCGCAGACAATGGTGTGTAAATGATTGAAATCTTCACAGCCTTCACGCACGGCGACATGGATTCAGCGCAGTGGCTTCTGCAGAAGTTTGAATCCCAACGATAGAAGATCAGCCATTTAAATAAGTGTGCACTGGACACTCAGTGAGAGTAATAGACATTGAACGTCATTACACTTGATGTATAACAGCGCACAATGCGTGTTCCTAACAATTCTGTCGTGTATCAACAGTATAACGTGAAGGACGTTTGGCACAAATAATCTACTTTTACCTGTCTTGGAATCTTCTTTTCTCTTGATCGAGATCAGAAGATAGAAATATCTAAGATTGGGTTAGAGGTTAAATGTTCTTTCAGCCTTTATACACGCACCACTGAGCCACTTTCGTTACGAGAATTTCTCTGACATCGACCTCGCCGGAGTTTAAAGATCTTTATTTTTAAACACAGATGTTTCCCAACAAAAATGCCACATTTCCCTCCTGTCAGGTGAAAACCTGCTAGATGTTATGGTCAATAGCATCGAAGCAGTCTGGCAAGAGCACACGAAGGGTTTTGTATCACACGTCCATGCCGATGTTAAATACCATTTTTATAAGGCCTTTCTGACCCCTTATCAGGGCAAATGGGTAAGTTTTCCAAACAATATGCCCTTTATGCACCCCCAAATGCTCAGATTTTCACCAAAATGGCACGATTGGACCCCCTGGAACCGAAAAACCAGACTAGCCCAGAGCACCAATATTTTTATACAAAACGTGCTATTCTGGGACACCTTAAAGTACATGCGCCGTCTGCAAATCACCCACACAGCGAAACACTATAAAATACATAGCGATGACAGCTATCGACCGGGTATCGACCAACGAGGCGCTTTTCGAAAACAATCTCTAAAACAGCACACTGGCGTCCAAACGGAACAAGCCGCGCCGCGATATCCACGAATGCAAAGCCGGTTGTGGGAAATTTGTTCACCCAAATTATTTCCTTATGTCACGATACTTTGGTCGCAATCGTCCAAAGCGTTCATCACGGCAAAATTGCCCGTTTTTGTTGGTGCAAAATGCCGGGCTATTAATCAGTCTACCGTCGAATACATATTGGAGCTGAAGCCGCGATGCCATAGCGGCGGTCCCCAGCGAGACAGGCATTCAGGCGCGTCACTGAACACTCAGCATCCGAGGATAGTAGCTCGATGGGACAAGAACGATCCAGTTGGGACAAGAGTATACGATTGCACCGGCGCTCACATCCGTGTCTCTGTGCGGCTGGCCATGTGCTGTCGGTTGTAACAGCTGAATTGGCTACTTTTCCCTTTTGTGTACTTCCTACATCCACGCAGCGGACTGCACAAGTGTTAAGAAGCATTCTGCGGCCTGCGGCCCTCACCACTGGAGACCAACACAATTTGAATGAGAGAGCAGCATGCCATCACATGTATCCGCACTGATATGCATCAAGCACTATGGAATCATCTGTTTGTTGCATTATCAAACACAATATGCAACTGGGCTCATGTGATATGGGCAGTAGTGGACTTTGAGAGTTTCTAGTGATATTACTGACAATAAAATGTGGCTAGGTCAGCACCATGTACAATGAGGATAGATTAGATGATAGACTGTATACAGATCACAGAAAATGCAGCACAAGTGACAAACACACACACAATCATTTGAAGCTCAGGTCATAGACTACTTTCAAATAAGACAATGCCTTCATAGTGTATATCACATAATGCTGGTCCCAGTGAACACTGTGGGACATAACACTCTTATTAGTGGCAGCCCTTCCATTAATTTTGTTCTCCAATATGTGTGTACTTTCACAATGGTCTTCACATGACCATCTAGACACCTGGATTGCTAAGCATAATTTTCATTTCAGATGTTTGTGATTACATTAATAGGGAACATCCATCACTGAAATCTGTGCTTTTTAAAGTGCCAGATGTCATTTATACATTTTATTATTCAATCACAAACAAAATGCTCACTACCAGGCACAGGATTCCACCAAAACACTCTTCCAGATGTCTAGCTCACACCATAGAAAAACCAGAATGAGAGAAAATCACCCTAGAAAAATGACATAATATAAGAACATGTAACTAAATAAATTCCAGAGCTGACTTCTCAGCATATAAAATGGGTAGTAATGACCATAGCTGAGAAAGCAAAACAAACACCACATTTGTATGACAAATAACATGGCAAGATAAAATCCCACTTTACCATGCAGAGTACCTCAGCTTTGAAGAATCTCAACCACAGACTCAGGACATGGTTTTGGTGCAGATGCAAAAACACTCAATCCACTTTTCTCCAGAGCAGCCTTGGTTGCTGGTCCAATAGACACATGCTTAACTTCTTCAAGGCCTTCAGACTGTGCTATTGCATCTTGGCTAAATAGTACACCTGAAGGGCTAAAATATACCATGAAATCTGGTTGCATTTCAAGAGACTTCTTGAGTTCTGATGCCATATCAGGATGCTCAGATGTTACATAAATTGTGCTGCATTGTAAAGGAATGCCAGCACTCTCCAGCTTGTTGGGGAGAGTTTCTTTCTTCAGGCTGCCACATGGGAAAAGAAGTGGTTGACATTCTCCTGCCATTTGTGAAATGATCACATCAGCAAGCTTTTCAGCGTTACCTGACTCCGCACCAATACCACACAAGCCCAGACTTTCCATTGCCAAACTTTGAGTTCTTTCTCCTACAACAAAACAAGGCTTCTCAAACCATGCTCCATCCAGTTTCTGTCCATGATTTGCCTCACTAGCAGCAAGAACTGCACGAGGGCTGGTGAACACAATGCCTGCAAATGATGTTGGAGAATCAAGGCATTTCTTCAATACATCCAAATTCTGGTATTGGAATGCCAGTGTTGGCACATTATGCACATGATAACCAGCAGCCTGTATCATATCTGTGTACCGATCCTGTCCACTTGAGCTTTCCTGGGAGCGAAGGAGTACCACTTTTTTACGTGACTCCCATGCCATCCCTTACTTTTCCAGTTTGTTGGTTCCACACGTGGCGTGATCACGATCATGCACTAACAAACAGCTCAAGATTCTTTCTGTGATACTGATTCATCAGTGGATCAGTCTTCCAGAGGAAATGCACGCCCCAAGTAGCAGCAACACCCCCACAACTCCTCCATACCCTCACCCCGCTTCCGAAATGACCGCATTCTCATGCAGTTACCTAAAATAACATAACCTTGGTATTTTGTAGAAGTTGCGGCAGAACTGTATACATCAAGAAGGTTTGAAATCTCTACATAAAAATCTTTTTAAAAAATCTCTACAAAAAAATAGGAGTAAAGGGAGCCGTAAGGTTTTCTTCACGAGCAGGGAGATTCTGTAAAAGGCCGCCTGTCACTCGCGAGCCGATATACATATATCGAAATGGCACCGCCCACACAGTAAATGCTTGCAGATTGCTGAAATGCACATTTCAGCATATAAAGCGCCTACTTACAACAAGCGGTTCCCTTCAAGGCGACCGGGACGGCGGGAATTTGCCGTTTTCAATCGTCTCTTTCCCTTGCTTATACCTTGGTCATGCTGGGTGACCTCACCCCTACGGCTGTGTGAAGGCAACGCTCACCTAGTCCCTAACTGAGCTAGATATGCGAAACGTAATGGGGTCGCTGTGTAGCCTCATCCTCATGGCCGTGTGAAGGCAACGCTCGTTTGGCCCCCAACTAAGCTAGCTACGCGGAACGTAATGGAGTCGCTTTGCGGGCTCGTCCCTATGGCTGTGTCCAGATAATGTCCGTCTGGCCGCTAATTAACTTAGATATGCGAAACGTAATGGGTCTTGCTTGTGTGAGACAAAGTCAATGGCATCTAGCATCAAAGGGAATACTCCTCATTTGAAGATCTTGAAGCAAACATCAGATGTGATAAGATAAGCTCACTTATATGTATTGGTACGCTTGTAAGTGGAAGGACTACTTTTGACAACACAATTTCTCTGTCTATTAAATATGCTCCTGCATACGCAACTGTGCCTTGCACAACATTGCTTGGGAGCCAATTGACGGCCGATATGTCAAGAAATCGTGTTCGCAAACGCCAGATATAAACGACTAGAAATCACATTGTTTCTTGGCCTTGATCGCCGTACAGCTACTGGAATGGCAGGATTTGAATGACTGATCTATGAATGACTATGATCGAGTCATGACTTTCTGGGTGACCTTGAAATGGTCTCCTCGAAAGTCTGCACATTTTTGCGGGTGGATAAGCCAAAAGACAGAATGGTTAGGTATTCCAAAGGGCGGGGCTGTGAACTACACCGAATGATCTTCAGGATGACTATTGCAGTTCAAAACCCCGTGCACGTGCGGAACACTCCCTTCAAAGGAAGTGCTCCGGCGTCGGACCACCAGGCGCCGAATCCTGGTGTCGCTCTTGCACCAGCCTCTCTCGTGGGGTGCGTTCAGAACATCGGCTGCCATGCGAAGGAGCGGAGGCAAAGGCAAGCCACAGGATATACAACATTCAGTACCAATCTTGCCGGCTACGTCTCGTCCATTGCAAATCACGTAATACGAAAGTTTTGAGCTCAAGTTCCAGAGCAAAAGAGGATCCGATCTTGGTCAAATTGGTATTCGCCAAGATTTCAGTAGCCATCTCCCGCTGTTCCGTAGGATCGTGCGGACGAAAACCGACCCCTCTACATTTCTATCAACTTTATTCTAGTGCCGATAACCTGTGAAATTTTCAATCGAATGCTTCCGAAAGCTATGACGATGGTTCAATGTTTATTTTCCTCACATTCAGAAGCGGAAACAAATACAACACATGATATGGCGACAAAAAATGACATAACACACCCACATATCACATCACAGCGGCGAACCCTACTGGAGTTACTCCACAACGCCCACGACGACGTCTCTCTGGAAGATGGTTATGGGTGAACTCACCAAGGCCAAATCTAGCTCCCCAAAATCAAACAGGAATCCTTTAAGCTGCAGACGCACTCCCCAAGTGGATGCCTTTTCCTCCGGCCGCAAAAGATCTTCGAAGAGTTTGAAGATTTTCGATTATCGAGTTCCGGGTGACAGTCCTTTTCCTGGCTTTCCGGAAGCAATATAAAAGGAAGCGCGGCAAAACTGGAATTGGCTTGGAGAGCTCGTGGCTACGTGCCCCTCTTGCGCTGCGATCACTATTGCAGCGCGGTTTTTATGTGAAATAAAAGTTGTGCTCTGACAAGCAAGTGAAGATTGCTGACGAGCCAATGCATGCTACTATTATCTCGAACACAGAAGACCTCTTCATGGCCCCATGAATGGTTCGTCCCTACATCTACCCCCGCACACTGGTCAGAGGTAATGCGCTTCGTACTCTACGTGATAAGATTCATTGACCCACGGTAGCCACTATTGCCAGTGTACACCTAGTGCAAGAAGGTTGTTTTAAATTTTGCCCTCACATCCTAAAAGGGATGTACACTGTCATACTTTGTTGAATAACAGGGCAGTGGGGAATATGAGCAGTTGTGATGATGTTGGTCTGGCCTTTTTGATAGCAGTGATATGGTTCCTGCCATCTTAATTTTTGCTCACTCCCTCACGCACTTGCACCAATTAGTACGTGCACTACACATAACACACCATTAGCTCTGACAAACAGCATGACGCACAAAGTTCAACCATATCAAAACTTTCCTAATTGGTAAAGTGTTCCAATTTTAGACGGCTGAAGCCCCAACAGCTTTCAAGCGATACTACCTGTTCCAATGCCTGCTTTTCTTGTACACTCAACAGCGGCGTGGAGCGAGCCTCATGGTTCGGGCGGCGGCCGCTCGGCGTCGCTGCCATCGTCGTCGCTCGCCTTGGAGCGTAGCGGCTCCGCCACCACCCGGATCACCGTCTTGCCCCGGTTGTGACCGGCCGCGACCTGGGAGAACGCCGACGGCACCGCCTCGAACGGCACCTCGTGCTGCACCACCGGACGGATCTGACGGCGGCACGGCCTGGGTGTCAGGCGGCGGTCGCGACGCCCGCGCGTCAGCCGGGGCACGCCGCGCGCCGGCCGACAGCGGTCGGTCTCAGCCGAGAGAGCACGGACTGAGCACGTCAGAAAAATGTGCGAAACGGGTAGCAAAGTGTGTAAAGAAAGAAACGGGCGGTTTGGATCCAGGAGTACGAGCCGACCATCGCATCACATAGCCACAATAGGTACCCATATAGACGATATATATATATATATATATATATATATATATATATATATATATATATATATATATATATATATATACACACACACACATATATATACATCTATATATATATATATATATATATATACACACACACACACATATATATATATATATATATATATATATATATATATATATATATAACTGCAAATATACGCATATAAAAATATATAACTATATATACATGCATGCATACATACACACATACACACATGATAGCCACTCTTACACCTGAAGCCCATCAGACAATCAGTAAAATAAATAGGAGCTTTTGCGGTCGATTCATCGCGGGCAGCGGTGTCTTTAAAGTTGACTACACAATCCCGGTTGGGCGTACCTTTCCGTCATCGACGAGATCCCTAATCTGTCTCAGAGCACAACCATTTGGCATGAAGAAAGCCCATCTGTGGTCAAATGCAGTGTGTCAGTGCAGAGCACTATAACCACGGGTTCACGGGGTCCAGCAAGTCTTCCCCAATTAACTTGGAGCCTTTATCCTTTTGAAATGTTGAGCTTCTACCACTATCACTACACGACGCATTTATATCTTTAAACGCGAAACCAAAACGCCAATGCAGTGTTTCGAGAGGACTTCCAAACCACTTGAACACGCAGCCACATCACACCGGCGCGTCGCAGGAGCTGGAATACGGGTGGGGCGCACCTGAAGCTGCTGCCCCGGCTGTGACTGGCGATGTTGCTCTGCACCAGCTGCGCCGCGTTACGTAGCGAGCCAGCCAGCAGTCCGCCCTCGTCGACGTTACGCAGCAGTGGCGGCGACAGCGTCACGTACTTGCTGTACGTCCACGGCTTGAGCAATGGCAGGCGGCCCTCGCTGCTCTGGCCGCTGCAGTCGAGGATCAGGTCGTACCTGCCGTCGGCGGGGATAGGGGGGGGGGGGGGCAGGTCAGGGCGGTGGGTGGGTGAGGTCGGGTACGGGTGACCCAGCGGCGCTCAGGCCCGCCCGACCTGACACACCGTACTGAAATCCCACATGGGTTCATTCACACCACATGGCTCCACGCACACCATGATAAAAAAAAACACGCCGTGCGCGCAAGTTCAGAGCGGAGGACATGCGCGCATTTGACGTCATCACCCGCAGCTTCCGTGACCGTTGCCGGCGTCTCACCGGCCGGCGGGTCTCTCGCCAGAGCGCCAGCTCTCACAGGCCGTCGGTCCGCCGCGGCGAGCGCGGCGCCGGCTCACCCCTGCATGAGCGCGAGGTGCTCGTCGGCCCGCGGGGAGGTATAGTCGAGGACCACGTCGGCGCCCAGCGACTCCACCAGCGGCACGGCGTCGGCGGCACAAGTGGCGGTCACCTGCGGCGCGGCAGTGTCTGCTGTAAGACGCCACGGCCGGAGCGCGACCCGCTGCGGCCCGGCACTCGCGCGCCGGCTGGCTGAGGGATGCCACAGGCACGAGCGCTGGTGTCATTTTGGTGGTAGTGCTGTACTTATCGGGAGCATCGTTGAAACAACTCAGAAAAGCGAGAGCTCATCCCACTGGCACTCAGTAGCCGATGAAATTTGTTACTGGAAACAACAATGACGTGTCTAAAGTGGGCTGTATTTCTCAACATCAGACTCCTGCTATTCATCAGGCAAATTATTCATACGTTACTGCAGCTTGTGAATCACCTCAAATGACGTGGTACATTCCAACTACCATGGCCGGGCGCCAGCCAGCGCCCGCGAGCCGCCGTGGCAGACTTATAACGACGCGGCCCTTCCCCCGCCGTCCGCCGGCCCACCGACTCCTACCTCGCAGCCCCAGGCCTTGAGCAGCTGGACGGCCAGTGAGCCGACGCCGCCGGAGGCGCCCAGCACGAGCACGCGCCGGCCGCGGCGCGCCGCCTCGTTCCAGAGCTCGCCGGTGACAACCAGCGCCGACCAGGTGGTGGCAGCCACATACGGCAGCGAGGCCGCCTCCACGTGCGTCAGAGAGCGCGGCTTGAGGGAGACCTGCGGCGCGCGCGGAGCTAGGCTCAGAGTCGGGGCGTCACATGAGCACGGCCAGCGGCTGGGCCACATGGAGCGCGACCGCTGGTCTTTTAAGCCAGTGATGGCGTCCGGACCAACAGGCACCAGTCCGCGGCCAATTGTCTTCACATGACACTGGATCAGGAATCAGGCAGGACTGCGAACGTATCTCACAAAGCACATCGTTTCAGGTACCGCATCCGCAACTGAGACACCAGCGGCCAAAGACGCGGCTCGTGCCAGCCTTTCGGAGACGGAGGGAGAGGGCTGACACAGCCCCACCGCAGAGACGGGTCTATCAGAGGGAGAGAGAAAGAGGGCGGACACCACCCCACAACAGGAGACGGGTCTGCCGGACGAGGGAAAAGGCGGACACCGCCTCACTGCTGGAGACGGCTCTGCATGAGGAAGGGAGAGGGCGGACACCGTCCCACGGCAGGGGACGGGTCTGCCGGCAGAGGGAGAAGGCGGACACTGCCTCACTGCTGGAGACGGCTCTGCCGGAGGAAGGGAGAGGGCGGACACCGTCCCACGGCAGGGGACGGGTCTGTCGGAAGAGGGAGAAGGCGGACACCGCCTCACTGCTGGAGACGGCTCTGCCGGAGGAAGGGAGAGGACGGACACCGTCCCACGGCAGGGGACGGGTCTGCCGGAAGAGGGAGAAGGCGGACACCGCCTCACTGCTGGAGACGGCTCTGCATGAGGAAGGGAGAGGGCAGATACCACCCCACGGCGCGCGACACTCACGCTGTCGGCGGCGGCCGTCACGTACTCTGCGTGCGCGCCCTGCCGCTGCGGGCCGACAGCCGCCCAGACCAGGTCACCCGGCCGGAACTGACTGACGCTGCCGCCGACGGCCACCACCTCGCCGGACAGGTCACGGCCCAGGGTCAGCGGGAATTCCAGCGCGCCCGTCAGCTGGCGCATCACGTTCACTGTCCGGCTGCCGTAGCCACCTGCCGGCAGGCGACCACGCCCCGTGACGGTGACGCAACGCACGCTCAGCGCGTGCTGCTGGCAACAGTGCGCAAGCCGCAGGCGACCACGCCCCATGACGGCGACGCGACACACGCTCAGCGCGTGCTGCTGGCAACAGTGCGCAAGCCGCAGGCGACCACGCCCCATGACGGTGACGCGACACACGCTCAGCGCGTGCTGCTGGCAACAGTGCGCAAGCCACATCACGCATTCGTCCATCGCACGCAGAACTGTCGTATGTCGTAGTGCTGTTGGTGTGCGAAAGGTGTCGTATGTCTTAAGTGCCGTGTGTTACATGCGCCGGCCAGTAAGCTACAGAAAACCACCCACGCAACATTCCATCTGAATGGCTGGATGCCAGACACGGAAACCGCATTGCTGCTGCCAATTTTGTCAGCTGCGGCGGCGTAAGACATCAGACCATGCGCGACTTGGCCAACCGCACCAGACAGCGCTATTCCCGGCGCGAACCCACCGCCTCATGGCCAGCGGCGTTGCGCGCGCTCACCCAGCATGGCCGTGTCGATCGGGTTCACGCTGGCGGCGTGCACGCGGATCAGCAGTTCGGTGGGGCACGTGATGGGCGGCAGCCGGCGGGAGGTAGTCAGCTGGCGACGGGGGGCGCCGGTCAGTCGGACGATGGCGGGGCGATGCCACGCTCGCACCGCTCATACACAAATACATATACCTGTGGCATTATATGTATATTACATAGTGCAAACATGCAGCAGCTGAAATACTCAACACGTCCAGTGCAGCTCCACATATCTCGGCTGCCAGTTGCAGAGAGAGAAGTTGGACCAGGGTGTTCGCGTCACCGGGCAAGGTCGCCAAGGTAAGGACAGATGCTCACCACCTGATAGCATGTGCCAGATCATGTGCGCGAACAGTCACACTCCCATGCACCAGCCTGGCATAAATTCTCACATACCACTCACCTCCAATTCTTCTGGTCCCCCATATTTGTGAATCTGCCATGCAGCCATTTCAGTAGGCACTGATGTATGGTGAACAGAGCGCCTCTGGCGCGCCCGGCCAGCCCAGGCAAACAGCCTGGCTGGTGCCAGGAAGCGGAAATCCATGCTGAATTTAAAGATCGGTGCTCACTGCAACAAGATTTATTCAATTTGGTCAAATCAAGTATAAAGCTTAACTGGTATTACATAACATTGAGATTGCCTGTTCAAGATCATAACCTATTGGTAAGACATCAGTACTTGTAGTGTAACCATTGTTTCAATAGAGATCAATGGAGTAATGTACAAGCTTAACTGCCATAATCCATTTGCATGAAAAGGGATACACCAAATTATGTGTATCTTATGTCACTCCTCTCATATCAGCAGCATCTGGAATGCACCATGGTACATAACATTCAACAGATGCCTCAAGAAACTAAATGGATTCTGGTACTTAAGCCAACCTGGCCTGCAAGGCTGTGTTTTGAAATTTAGTCATAAATAGTTTAACTGATATCTCTCTAGCCCAGAAAATTAATCATTTCTGTTGATGACTTCCCCATTCCTTTCCATGCAGAAAAATCCTCATCCTATAAGTTTTGGCAGGAGCAAAGGAATGCCAAACTCTGTGGTGTAAATGTTGATATCTCCAATTCAATAGCCACTGAGCAGGCCAGGTAACAAATATATTGCTGAGATGGTGGGTGTAGAACAAATCCTACATAATACAACATCTAGGGAGGCCAGACCGCAAATAATACATGAGCATGACATGTCTGGTAAAGCAGCTGCACCAAAACAACAACTTTGGTTCAGGCATGCCATAAATATGAGACCTCATAGTTTGCAGCATGACTACCACCTGTAAAGAGTGCAAAAAACCCAAGGAGTAATGATGTAGCTTACATTATTTAAAGCAAAACTGCACTTGAGGCTTTTAGTAGGCAAAATATCTTGAAACTTCTGCAATATTAGACAGGGCATGTTTGGTGCAAGCATGCTCCAAGTTCACAGCACTGATGCCACATACACATCTAATCATGTGAAGATTCTTCTCCAGACAGGGATAAGTAAAAAACCCCTTTCTGTTACGTAATATCTGATTCTAACTCACTATTTATAAGTACCTAGAAGCATGAGTAAGCTTTTCACCTTAGGAATGGAATTCACATAAAATTATTCCTAACAGTGGTCACACCATCTCTTCACAAAATTTTCCAAATTTTACCCTTTTACCACTGAGCTGTGAGTTCGGACACTAAGCAGCACCTTGATTTTAGTTTATGCCATTTTCCATACTGTATGCTCTGTTACCTGCCATCAATTAAATACAAGGAAGTCATTTCGCTCACAAACATAATGTAAGGGGAGAGAACAACATGCGGAATAACAAATATCAGCCATTGTAACCACCATTACCACCTTCACTGTCCCACAGGTCGATGCATAACAATGCCGGTCAGACCACCGAGATTACAGTGGTTCGTAATCGCTCTCTCTGCGTCACATTACGAGGCTTGAAAAGATTCTATGGCAGTTCGTAGGGCTAGAGAACATTTGATGTCATCAAATGTATATACGACTTTTTCCGATTCATTTGGATGTTTGACAGTGATAAGTGATGGAGTGGTCTTAAAATTCGCTATCTTTATCGTTAAAAACATTTTCGCTGACGCTGATTCAAAATGAGGTTAAGGGAAGAATACCGTATTTACATTTCGCCTTTCAGAGCTACCAAATTATTCTCTACCTAGCACCTTTCTCATTGACGACCTTGCCATTGTCGGAAACAGCTGCCTTCGTACAGCTGGTCTGGTGGGCGTTTTCCGTGCTTTAAGTTTTGCTGAGTGTGCAGGAGGCTGGGTAGAGTTATATCATTGCACAGTATATTTAGGGTCTTACTGATTTTATAATACACGCATAGGTGCTTCGTTGCGCCCCAAATCATCCGGAACAGACGGTTTGCCCTGTTCGCCTGTTTCGTTGTTGCGGCTGGGCTGACTGGTGACTCGGCGACAACTGGCGGAATATTAGTTGTCTGAAGAACCGAGTTTCGTTTAGGTAATAACCTACCTACCTGGTGGCTACTACTGCCTGCCTACAAACCTACCTACCTTCTGACATGAACAAAGTTGGAAGTCTTCAGCTCGATCAAAATTTGCTGGGAAAAGGTCAGGGATGCAGGTCAGCCTTTAGCTGATTATCATTCTGCGGAATGTATGTGTATGCCATTAATCAAACTAATGCTGAACACCAACTTAATACTAAAGCACCTGTTGCTGCTATGTTACTTTTACCTCCAATTACGTAGAGTTTTGTAGATGAAAGGTGTAAATACATCCACAGTCTTGAAAAAATTACTGCATTGCTATTCAGTTTCAGTCCTTCCAATTAAACTATGAAATTGAAATGTGAGACAGATCATAACTAAATTGAAGCCTTGCAAGGTGTGTTGTAAAAGGTGATGATCAACAATATTTTTCATGGTTAGATTTCTATAATGACGTGCCCAATTATGTTTTCTCCTAAATGCTTTATACTTGTGGTGAGAAGTAGTTGTGAGAAAGAAAGAATTTATGATTGTTTATTGCTGATTTCTATTATTGACTGAATGATTCAATAAGACATGACAAGAATAAGACAAGAAGAGGGCATAGTAAATCAAAATAGTAAGAAAGTTGATGCTTAGTGTAACAAGTGGAAAGGAATGCTAAATGCTTAAAAAATAAAGCTAGCTTTACATAAGTAAAACAGTGTATGAATTATGGATCAACAAGATAATGCAACATAAATCACCTAACTTAAGAAAAAAAGACTCAGCTCATGGTTTTACAGCATTATCTCAGTCCTTATACTGAGTTATCAACCATCATTATATCTCAGTGGCACCAGGATATGCTGGTAAAATGACACGATGGTGTAAACATTGGCTACATTGACAGCACCCAGGTGCTGGATTAGCATATTGCTGTATGCTCATCACTGCGTACAATTACTTGATAAAATTAAGAAAGTACTTCTTTGGATCACTGCAGGCATGATCATTTAAGGCATAATTGCTGCTTGCAATCATTTAATGCAAGAAGAAAAGACCTTAAGCTCCTGGTTTTACAGCACAAATCTATAATTTTTGTGCTGATGTGTCAGCCTTTAATATACCAGGAGGACTTGGTTGGATGGCTTTATAGTGCAAACAGCAGTGAAGTTAGCAGTACCCAGCTGCAACACAAGCAGATGACCAAACATTTAGAATAATCCCTGGTCTGTAATGTCACTCTATCATGCTCTGTATGCAGGCTCTTAATGGAACGCATCTCCTACTGGCCGCACATGTGGCATCATGCAGCACCTCAGCTCGGCTCTCCCTGTCAGCAGGCAGGCAGGGGGACGGTGGTACCATGAAGCGGGCGTCACAGGAGACGGCCGGCCAGTCGCAGGAGTTGCGCCTGCTGGCCGACCTCAGTCCGGCGGCCGGCTCCTCCGGGCCCGGCTCGGTCACGTTCGAGTCGGAGACGGGCGCGCGCCGACCGCGGCCTCGCGCGCGCAGCCGCGACCCGCCGGCCGAAGAGCCGCGCCGCGACAAACATGGCGCCACCAGAGGTGAGTGCACATGTGCAGCCAGGGGTGCAACGGAGCTGGTGGTGATGTTGCAGTCGGTGCTGACGCGGTGCTGTTGTTGTTTTAGGTTACACATAGGATGCAAGGGGGAGAGGGGGACGGGCGTGTAGGTTACACATAGGATGCAAGGGAAGTGGGCATGGGTGCACATCAATTTGGTATTTGGGGCTCATGCCTTCATGTACCACCAAGGACCTTATGCCAACGTTTGAGGAAAGCCAGGCCTTATCAGCTACAACAATGCTCTAATTGCATTTTGAAGTGAAAGGTGTAGCTGCAGGTCTGAATTACAGCCCGAGTAATTTATTGTAGTTTGTTACATTAGATGTGCATGTGTTTGATTACAGATCCAATGCTGTTTTGACTTGATGCAGTTAAGTGATATGTCAGAGCAAACAAGTGCACTGTGCTCTGGCAGTTTTGAAAAGACCATGATTTATTCCTGCCTTTACTTTGAGCTCACTTTTGTTTGTTTGCTGATGTTTTGAAAGCCTGTCACCCCAGTCAAGGACTGTGGACGGGTATGCAGCACATACCTTGTTTGCAGCCTTAAAGCCTATATTGCCTCGATGTGCCTGCCCACATCTGCAAGCATGTTTAGTTTTCTAGTTTGTTAGCACTGCCACCTGAAAGTGGTCATCCGCTTGACCTCTGCCGTCTGCTGCGTTCGTTGACTAGCATAATGCCTGCTGGCCCTCCCCACCCTGCCGCATGCCGTTCTGATTCGTTGCCACCCGTCCGTCTGTGTTGAGCATGCTCTGTGCGTTTTCTGAGCAGGTGGCGAGGCGCGGCCATGCCAACACCACTCGTTTCTCACAGAGCCGACGGATGTGAAGGAAATGGAAACGGATCTGCTTCGACTGATGCACGGGTTCAACTCGGGCAGTCTGCGCGCCTTCGGTCAGTCTGCGGCACATAACTACTTTATCATCGTTATTTTATCACGCTATCTTGAGTCGTTATTCTATCACATAATGTTGCATCGTTGTTCGTCATTTCGTTATTCCATCATGTGTTACCTGCTGCGAGTGCATACGGTACAGTGCTTAAATGTACGCTCAATAGTGCATTACAGAGATTACGCGCATCTCTCTGCGCCTGTGCTTACCGATCACCGTCAGTCTCACTTAGTTCAGGGTTGTTCTGGGCGTGGATAGACATGTTCCCCCACGGCTCGAACCTTGCAGTTTGCGAGCCGGGCCGCGCTTACCACCGCGCTGGGCGGCCGAGAACAGCTTCGTAGAGCGTGTCACGGCTGGGGCCGTGTTTCCCCCACTCCCGCCCGCCGGGTGCGCAGTTGATATGCTCTGAACGGCCCGTTGATCAGTTGCTATTTTCCAATACCCGTGCAGTGCCACCGCCCCATTTTATTCCGCTTGAGCTGCTAAACGCTTCCGATTCAGTTCTCACCGGTAGATGGGACCGCTTGGTGCGCGCAGGCGGGTGGCCGGCACAGGCGGCCGTGCGCGTGTGAACCGACCGGTCCGTCCGTTTAGCATGACCGACCCCCCTCCCTTCACCCGTCGCCAGGGAAGGACGTCAGCATGGAACAGATGGAACAGATCCGCGAGCAGCAGGAGCGGCTGGCGCGGCTGCACTTCGAGATGGGCGCCCAGCAGGAGTTGTTCCCGCCGCTCTCCGAGGAGGGCCTCGGTCGCGCTTCGGCCAGCCTGCACGAGCTGATGGCCCAGCTGCAGCAGCTGTCGTCCTCCATCGAGAAGCTGCACACGCGCCACGAGCCGCCGGCCGCCCAGGAGCCGCCGCACGCCAACAGCTGATGGCGCCGGGCGGAGACGGAGCCGGCGCACCGCGGCCAGTGTTATATCGCGCGCCCGCGTGAAGTCGAGGGAGGGTGTGAGGGCGCCTGGCCTCCAGCCAGAGCATCGCCAGCTGGCGATGAGATGCGTGGCAGGCCGCATGCCTGTCGCCATTGTCGTCCCCCGTACTGCCCGCTGTGGGGCTGCGAAATACGGACAGGCTGGACCCCAGTGATCTAGGACTCAATGTGAACAACGGTATCTGGGGGGCAGTATGAGTGTGAGAAGTGTAGTTAGTTGGTTGCAAGATCATCGTGCGGCATACCCCGGTTGTGAACTAGGTTTCGACGGATCGTTTCGGTGAGCTTCGGCTCATACTTCATGTAGACATGTTTTCTGAGCCGATGATGTAATGTAACCCCTCGCGCCCTTACCGCGAGCTCAAGACCAGGGGTCAGGGAAGCGTCGCTTCCCTTTTCAGGGAAAGCTTAGCATAAAACCCGCGGCAACGCGAAAAATAATTGGCATCAAAAGAGCGTTATCTCTCTCTTTTTGTCTGCTCGACAGAAGTCTGGAGCATCTCTGCTGGAGTTTGCTAATCGCTTGCGACTACCATCGAAATATGGCAATTTTGAGTCAACTGATCATCCTCCCCTGATCATTCTTGGTGTCCGAATGATTGCCGGGCTTTGGGCCGGCATGACATGTACACCCATTGCCAAGGCGACGACTTCCAGACGGATATCAGGTGACGTTTTTGTGCTAGCAGTGCCAATCGACATTTTCTGGTAATATTAACTGATGCTGCTGGATAACTTGACAACACGCGTTCGCTCAGGACAGGATGGTGTCCAATGCTATTGCCCCAACTCAATTGCTAGTCTTCACCAATTGGCATTGCAGCATTCTTGCCAGCATTCCAAGTTGAATGATTGGAAGTTTGGGGACGCGGCCTGGTGGGGCTGTCTCGCTGGTGAGTCATCATCCCCGCGCCATCATCACCTCAGTCGCGCCGTTACTGCCCCCTGCCGTGAGCTGCCCGCTGTCTTGCCGGCGGCGGATCGGGCGGCGCCCGACACCCACCCCTATGCGGTCCTCGGCCGGGACCTCCGGTAACCCCCGCCGCCCGAGAGCGAGCGGGGCCGGTCCTCGGGGGTCCGGCGCCCCCGCCCGGCCTCGCCGGAGGTCTTGGAGCCAGCTGACCAGCGTGTGTGTCTTGCCAATCTGAGGTGTCGTCGGCCTCCGCGCGTGCGTAGCGCGCGGCGCTGTGACGGTTTGTACTTTGCTATTGCCCCGAACGAATGTCTTGCCTCGGCTTGGCGTGTGCCCAAACGATGCCATTTCGCCATCTGTGCTGTTTTGCTCGGGGGGGGGGGGGGGGAAGGGGTTCCGATGCTGTTGAATCAGTGCTCATGTCGAGGCTCTGGCCAGCTCAGTGACGTGATGTTCTGTATATGAGCGGCTCATTTACGTGCGGAGGGTAACGCTCGACCCAGCGCCCTCTGTATGAAGCCGGCATCGCTGTACGGTGATGACGGCTGGTGCGGCACCGGTGATATTGAGCTTTGCTTGCCCTCCAAGTGACCTAGTTCTCACGGCTTTGTCGTGAGAGAAAGCTCGGGTTGCATATTGATAGACCACTCCTGTCAGCCGCCGCTCGCTCGAGGTCCTCCGAATGCGGCACGCGCTGGCGCGCGAGATTCCTTTATGTTCTGCGTTTATTGCCACGTGCATAACCGCACCAACAGCTGTGAAGCTGAATGGGGTCTCCGTCACCCACGGTCTGGCGTTCACTGTATGGTCGTTCTGCCGTACTGGCAGGACGCTGGCATGTCATTGTGGATTGCCGCGGGCATTTCTTCAGCGGCCGGAGGAAAATCATGTCACGTGGTTAGTGTCCTCATGTGAAATTGCGTGCTTTATGTTCTGAATGTCAGAATCAAAACGTGACCTCGTGTGGATTGGGAAAACTTTACCCAGGCTGCAGCTACATCGTCCGGATTAAGTGGGGGACTGTGAGCGATGGTGCCAGTACAACAAGTCAGGCTCTTTGCTCTCGCCTTTGCCGCTGCCGGTGTCAGTGTCACCCATACGCGCGTGCTAACGGCTCTCGAGCCAGACCAGGTTAGAGGTTAAGCAGTTGACCTGGACGTCCCGGCTGAGCTTCGACGGCCAGCTTGTGGTGCACAAGTTGCGAACCGCGGTGCTTGGCGGGATGTTTCCAGAGCAGGCCTTGGGTGCACAGTCTGGTGACGACTTCCGCTGTGACCTCAGCAGCCTCCATGCCAGAGCTGCCTTCTCAGGAAGTTCCTGTCCCAAGTCGAATCCAAGGGCCAAAGATGGACCAGCTCTCAGTCCAATGAGTGTAAAAAAGTCAGGTCGTCCAAAAATATTAGTTTTTAAAGGTTTTCAGATGACAACAATTTCAAATAACGGACTACCAACAACCAATATCCCCAATCGCCACTCACGTCGATGCATTCTCTCCCTCGAGTGAAATGAAAGAAAGAAATGGGTCGTGGATAAGTGATGTGTGTCACAGCCTTTCGTGGAGGCGTCCGCAATTCACAATGTACAGGAGCCCAATCCTTCTATAGGAAGGACGCAGCATGCGGTCGAGGGAGCAGAAAGCTAATCCCAGCGGGCCACCCGAGCCCGCTCCTATCAAATTCGCCAACACTGGACAGCTCCCCCTGCCGCCGGCGCACCAGCCGCGGTCAGGCGGACCTCAAATTCCCGCCGCTGCGTTGCCAAACCTCGCCGGCAGCCCAGCAGCCACGCAGGTAGCGAGTGAATCGCCGGTGGCGCCAGGACAAGCCAGTGGGAGCCCCGCCCCGTCGTCAGCGGTCACATACGTCAGTCGTGCCACAGATGCCGTGACATACCTCGCTTGCAGTTAAGTAAAACACGGAAAAAGCAGTGCACTCTTGCTCAACGCACAATTCGAGCCTTTAAAGCTCTTCAGTGCTGCGCCGAATGTGACGATTCCGCCGCGATGTGCTGACGGAACGAGCCACAGCCGGACGGACGTCAGGCCAAACGGACAAGGGACGTCCGGTGACGCCCCCCCCCCCCCCCTCCCCCGATGGTAACGGTCAGCTCCGCGCCATTTGAAAGTGATCAGAGTACCGCAGAACATCAGTTGTCGCGTGAAGGTCGATTGCACATCTGCTGGTCACAAGGGGTCAATAGTGCGTAAGCCAGAATGTAACGACCAGCAGAAATAAGGGTCACAAACTGAGAAGTCATTTGAAAAAGAGTTCCTTACTTGGCTTTCTCCGCGATGTTGCCTAAACACAGCGTGACGAAAAGTGACGGGCAGAGAATCACAACGCATTTCATCATCAGCGTAATAGCGCTTGAACGGCGACTCAACAGCGCAGTTCGCCAGTCAACTGCAAGTTGGCGACGATCCAGATCCAGATCCAGAGGCAAGACAGCCAAATCAAGCGTCCCCACGGCGACAGCGTTGAATTTGTCGGCCGCCTCTTGGCCATGGTCTTCCCGGCCGGGAATGAGGGTACCAAGACTTCACACGCACTCGAGTGGGGTGTGATGTCAAATTGACCCCCCCCCCCCCCCCCGAAGGTTTGTCTGGAATGGTTTGCGAACAGCAAGGCGTAGTCGCACCAAATTTTGCAAAGCTGTAGACAACTGAATAGCGGATTGTCTGGCATCAAAAAGGTTTATGTACCTTATGAGTTCGCTGACCTAAGCCAGGTCAAAATCAGGCCACAGTTTCAGCGAAGGCAATTTCTAGGGAATCGCTATATCTGATCCAACAACGGAGTGTTAGACGAACCCATACATCTCTGAGAACTTTCCCAGGCAACACAACAATTGCGTGAACAAATAACATTGACCTAGGGTCGGGTACCACGGTCAGACAAATGTAAAAACCAAGCTGTTTTATTTGTCTAGGGCTTGCTGTATGGGTAGGTTCTGGTGCCCATTTCAAATTTATTGATAACAGAAACCGCGTTGTCCACCTTCCATAGACTTTTATGGTCAGAATAGGTCACTGACCTAAAATGACCCAGGTCAATATTTCGTTTCAAGGAACATACTGCCTTGTGTAATCTTTGTCGCTTATCCAAATGTAAAACTCAAGACAGTCTTGCATGATTTTGTCCCCATGGCCTTCAAAAGGTCAAACAAGGTCAATGACCTTAGATGAGCATGTGACCTCTTGCGTAGAACAGCTATCTAGGTTCTAAAGGTCATTTGGAGACCAACCTGGAATTCGACCTTGTTTGACCTTATTCAAACCAAAGGTCATTACCTAGGAACCTCCAAATTTGACCCAAGTGAGTTCACGTACAGGTACAGGTCATTCACACACCCTGTGGATTTGGCGTCTCTAGCTCTCTTATTCCTGAGATCTCAGGGGGCTCAAACTGACACCCCACCCGAGCGAAGGGTATCCAACCGATCACCCGGGCGCGTATTAACCTCAGGTCACCCCGGCACCGAAAACTTCGCTGCTGATGACAAAAGCTGCAATCTTCTGGAAAATCAACGTGAAGAGACAAGGCCTGGGAAGTCCAGTGGACACTGTTCTTAACACAGAGAACGCTGTGGACCACCCATTGAAGCTCCTCAGCAGCTCGTCACACCTTTTCGAAACCTGGATCCCAAAGCTCTGCGATGGCGACCACCACAACAGGCAGGGGCAACGGAGCGGGGGCCTTCCTCCCAAGAATCCAGCTCACTTCACCTAACATGCCCGTCAAGCTCAAAAGAAAGCACTTTCCAGTCCAGCAGAGCTACACTGTAACCACAGGCAAGAACCAAGACCGGTCCCTGCCAAAAATGGGCTCAGCCCGACTGCGCCAGTGTTCTCCCACGGTTGGCTTTACGTCAGCTGCTCCAGGGTGAGCAGCCGACCTGTTTGTTCTGTCGCAGTCGAGCAAGACCAAAAACATGGTGCGTAAGAAGGCCTTGCAGCCGTGAGATTTATTGGTGCAGAAAGTCAGCTGCAGCAGAATCGCAACGCACTCCAACATCCAGCCCGCACTTGCCCATCGTCACATTGTCTCGTGTATGGTCCTCGGTTACGCAGCCCGCAGTCGGTCCCCTGTCGAGAGAGGCCGAGCCAGGTGGCGGACCGTAGTGCTGTACCTCTCAGAGCTCCGCCGATCGCCCCCCTCCCCTCCCCCCGAGAGAGGCCGAGCTGGGTAGCAGACCGTAGTGCTGTACCTTTCGGAGCCCCACTGACCGCCCCTCTCCCCCCCCCCCACCGATGGAGGCCGAGCCGGGTAGCGGACCGTACTGCTGTACCTTTCGGAGCCCCACTGACCGCCCCTCCCCCCCCCCCCCCCCGATTGAGGCCGAGCCGGGTATCGGACCGTACTGCTGTACCTCTCGGAAACCCACTGACCGGTCGGCTGGTCAAACAACAATCCAGTAGAATGCGGCGACCCGTTGCGTGTAAGAGACCCAAAAGGGAAGCGTAACGTTCACAGATTGTTTGTCACCGTTGGTACTCAGTTTCTTTGAAATTGAACGTCTGATGGCGTGGTGTTTTTGAGCTGTGTTTCACCTGAATTACTCCAGCAAATGATTTGCAGTCGGTAGTTTCGCTGAAGCGTGGCCAACCATCAAATACAAGTACGGTTGAAATACCCACGACACGAGTCAACGCAGTGCTCAATCATAATGCCAATATAGCTATCTGAAATGGGTTCTTTGCGGCATATCTTATTTCATTATATGGGCATCGCCGATCATTCCAGCTTGCAAATAAAATACGCTTCATAATATATACGAACGCACGCACACCAACACTTCTGTAAAATTTATACGCGACACGTATAATCAACAATGTATAGGATGCATGCACCACGGCATGCAGGGCAGCATGCGTCTCAGCACACGGAAAGGACACGCACCCCAGCAGGCATCACGACATGCAGAAGGACGTGCAGGTGAACATACATGTATGACTACGTGTGGGGTATTGGAGATCAGGATAGGCGTTTCCTTTGATACAATAAGCTAAATTCTGAAATTAAGCTAACGAATGTCAGTGGCCCGTAAGTGAAATAAGATGAAGAGGTTATCATAATCTCATGGTTTCATGCTTTACTTGACTGAGCTTATTAAGAAATTCGTCACTTTCTTAACAAAACTTTGGCGAATGTCAACAGCAGATGATTCATTCTGAAGTGCCTGCTAAGCCAAGCGACGATACGGAACGTTGCTTTACGCGAGCTCTGTATGACATTGCACGCCGTGTCCCCTGACAGGAATTCCGAGGTCTCGGAATGGTGCCGGGTGTTTGCGGTTGCTTGACATGTCAATGAGCACGTGCCGTATAACTTCGAAAATCATGGGCGACGAAAAGCATCTTGTGGGTGATGAA